GGGGGGGGGGGCATAACTTGGACAGCAGCTCGAAGCACCTTTAAAGGAGAACTATGAGATGAGTGGTTTTTGTTTTTTTTTTTCTCCATTCAACCTCATAGTTCAAGCGGACCTGTGACAATGAAACTCACGTCGGCACAGTAGATGGGAAAGTGAGGGAACACATACCGTCGCTCACTCCTCAATCATCTCACTGCAGAGAGCTGTGACTCGCTCACGGCTCCCTGCAGGGATTCCTCCCCGCTCTGATCCTTCAGCGCTGAATGGTGGAACGGATGGGGAGGGGGCAGGTACAGCTGGCTCTGCCTCTAGATAGGCAGAGCCTGCTGTCAATCACAGCTGGGTGGCTCTCCACAGTAATGGTGGGATCCGTCCTGGCTGCGGTAGTCTCAGTATACCGCAAGCTATACTGAGCTTTTGGGTCACGGGAGGACGCTAGTTTGTCCTCCCGTGACCCTTAGGAGAACTATGGGGAAAAACACTTACCCCCATAGTTCTTCTTTAATCGCTGAAATCAGCAGAAGACTGGTAAATGTAGACCAGGTGCTGACCTTTAAAATCTTAAGCAGAGGCCTGATGCTGTAAAGCCTACAAACTATGGACCGATCTAGAAGAATATGCTTTAACCGGAAAGGGTGATATCCTGTCCCTAGCAGAAAAGGCATGCACGATGATCTGTTCAATCCTCTCGGGGTGAAGCACCAGCACATGGATGAACAGCTGGGATTTCCTTGTCCAGGTGTGGTCCTAAGGACACATCCCTGAGCCCACTAGGCTGGTAAGTGCTGTCGGTGGAAGGCACTAGGTTGGAAATCTACCATGTATGGGCTGATCCAGGGAGTAAGTCTTTTTATCCCACACAGCTTGGATGCTCATCTGAAGTGGTCTGGAGTAGAAATTAGTGTGTGGCATTACTTGGAGCAACTCTACCATCAGTCCCAGGAACCCGTAATGCAGAATATTAGGGTTGACCCCAGCCTTGGAGAGTCCACACCCGAGAACTAAGACAAAACCTTTGCTGGTGGATGAAATAGCAGAGCCTGGCCTGTGTCAAGGATAAGGCCCAGGTACAACGGTTGGTGAATGGGATCCAGCAGATTTCTGGCTGTCGGGCATCCAACCCAAGCTCTGTGGAATCTGACATTTTTTTTAATTGATGTTGGCAGACAGTGTTGGAGCATGCCAGGCCATTTAGCAGAAGGCCATCCATATAACCCACAACTTGGACAGCCTGAGCATGCGATGGTGCAAGGGCTAGAGTTAAGGGAAGTGCCATAAACTGAAAACTCTTGCGAAGTGAAATGCAGGCAGTGCTGGACTTTTGTCTGAACCAGGGCCCAGATGTTGCTGTAGGTGTCTGAAAGGGATGACAGGAACGCTTCTAGATATCACTGATCAGAGGCGGCTCTAGAGTTTATGGGGATGAGAGCTCACAACGCTACCTGGCTGCCGTTCTGACAGGGCAAACTAGGCGGCCGCGAGGCCTAAGGCGACCGCCTAATTTGCCTAATTAAAAAGCCGCCTCTGTCACTGATGCAGGCCACCCCTTGCTAGACAATAGACTGTTCTCAGTGCCAGTAACCTTGATAAAAGCACTCAAGTTTTCCGAAGAGTTGTTCGCCCTCAAAGTGGCCTCTGCCGACCAGGGCCCTTCACATCTGAACCAACAGAAGGGCCATATGAGAGAGACCTAATAAAAGGTATCAGCCAAGTCATTCACAGAGTAGTGGAGAGATCCAAATGTAAGGGGAAAGGATCTGCAGAAATGGAGCCTGGATCATGGGCCTTATGCATCACCCCGCAGCATACACCTGACAGTGGTAGGTCTGTGTTGTAGTCTGCTTCCCTTACACCACCTGCAGCCAGGAGTAACAATACAGCCGCCATCTCTGCCGTGTACATGCCCAATACAATCTAGGAGTCCCAATATGGCCACTACCACACTGCGCATGTGTTGGCTTATGACTCCAGAGCCTCTTATCTGACTGCAGCAGCATCCACCCAAACCAAAGCCCTAATGTCCGAAGCTGGCTGCCGGAGGCTAAGTAAGCCCAGGAGCAAGCAGAAAGGACAAATCCATCCACAAACCACAGCAGCTGCAGGCAGGGAGCACGAGACTCTCGGGCCTTGTTCACACCAAGCGCGGAGCAGAGCAAAGCAGTTACAGACCGGAGCAAAACTGCGTCCAATGTGTTCCAATGGTATATTAGCTCCAGTTCACGTCTCAGCGTATAGTTCCAGAGCAGGTAAAAAAACTGCAGCAGGCCCTATTTTACCTGCTCTGGAACATATGCAAATGCATCAAAAATGCATGCAAATGCCTGGAACGAACATTTTAAACTAAAAAAAGAAAAATTGTTGTTTTTTTTTAACCAAAAACGGGCCGCAACACATCAAAAACACGGCACAACCCACTGCACTGCGTGTGCAGAAACTCATGCAGATCTGCTCTGCATTTGGTGTGAACAAGGCCTCAAGTGTCTTCCATCAAAGTGAGGGGCAAAGGAAAACAAATGCATGCGCCTACAGCCTAATATACTGACAAAGCTAGAGATTCTGTCTGCAAGTTTTTATATGTAAGCGGGTTAGATTGTAAGAAGAAGGTTATGTAAACTCATTTCTAGCCACAGTCGCTAGCTGAACGTGGACACAAACTTCCATTTAAACATTCCTCAAGAGACTCGAACAATCAATATCCACTTTGAGTGCACTCAGATATGACCTTCTAAAAGTAGTAGCGACCGCATCACTGTGCTGTGTAGAGAACAGCCGTAGGAGGGGCCCATCAGGCTCCACCCCCTATGGGAGAGGTTGGGGACAAGACCAGTCATCCTGCACAAGGAGAGAGCAGCAGTGACCGGTCTTTATTACAGGAGGGGCGGGGACCAGACCAGTCAGCCTGCACAAGGAGAGAGCAGCAGTGCCCGATCTTTATTACAGGAGGGGGCGGGGACAAGACCAGTCAGCCTGCACAAGGAGAGAGCAGCAGTGACCGGTCTTTGTGTAGCAAATAAGTTGCGCTCGGTCTGAGTGGATGTTAATTCAATATTTGTGAAGAACAATCTCTTAGTTTAAAGAGGAAAAAATACAGTGTACAATTACTGAAAATCAATATCTCGGCATGTGACAGTTAAATGTAAGGAAATGATTTAAAGGCTGTTAAATCGCGTTGTTTCCCTTCAGAAACAAATCACTTCTACTGTCGTGGTAAACAACCTGCTTCCCTATTTATTGCATCAACTATAAAGTTGATGCAATAAATTGACCACAGAACATACATAATCCAAGAAATGTGATAATATACAGACTTCAGGTCCCTCCAAAACTCTCTCCCATCCAAAGTGTTCCACTCCAGTATAACTCGGGGAAAGATACATCAAAAAGCTGGCAGAGTGTGAGTCCTTGATCAACTTTTATTAAATCAATATTTAAAACCACTCACCCAAAAAGGTGCCTCGCCGCAGCATGCATATCCTCATACACCGAGCCGCTGTACGCAGCGATAGCCAAACTTCGGCCCTCCAGCTGTGGTGGAACTATAAATCCCATGAGGCATTGCAAGATTCTCACAGCCACAGTCATGACACCCGGAGAGAGATGCATCATGGGATTTGTAGTTTCACCACAGCTGGAGGGCCGGAGTTTGGCTACCCCTGCGCTATAGGATCCTTCAGACTTCCTGGCATGGCGTACCATCCCTGAGGAAGTCACGTGACGAGGGCGGGTACTCGCTGATGTCACTACGCAGACCAGGATCATTTTAGCTCTTTAGATGTATTGACATTTTGCAGATTTATAAGAGCGCAGTGCAGTTTTTATATATGGGATCCTTTCGAGGCGTTTATTCATTTTGGCACAGCTGCCGGTTGACTTTTAAAGAATAGGAGCGCAGATGTTTTGTATCTCGCAGTGTGACGTATGAGCCGATAGGAAGAAACACAATGCCCGATGGGGAAGCAGGTATTCAATGGTGCTTAAAGTGTGTAGAATACGTGTGGCTGTTAATACACAGGGGTCAGGAAAGATAAGCATAGTCCTCCCAGGTGACCCTATGGCAACATGGTCACTTTGGCAATGGGGGAATAAATGTCAGAACGAGCAATATGGGTATCGGGTAACAATATTCCTTCATTGTGTACAGTGCTTGTTCTCTGTCTATAGCCGGGGTAGACAACCTCAGCACTCCAGCTGTTGTGAAACTACAAGTCCCATAAGGCATTGCAAGAGTGACAGCTACAGGCATGACAGGATTTGTAGTTTTGCCCAATCTGGAGTGCCGAGGTTGCCTATCCCTGGTCTATGGGATTATCTTCTCTTTTATATCTTAACCGCTTCAGGGCCACCAAAAAAACATCCGGGTCCTGAAGCGGTTATACCAAGAACACGGCTGCAGCTGCTGTCGATGGTTGTTTAGATACAAGCGTATAGCCGCCGGATCGCTTGTATGGTGTGGGCTGAATGTATCACCCCACCTCCCGTTGGCTTCTCCAGGCTCCGCTGGCAAATCGTCACCTATGGGAAATTTTGGGTAGTTTTTTGTGGGCTTTAGGGGCACACACAATTTTAACCACTTGCTGGCCAAGTGATTACACCCCCTTCCTAGCCAGGCCATTTTTCAGTATTCAGCGCTGCGGTACTTTGACTGACATTTATTCCGTCATGCAGCGCTGTACTGAAATTAATTTTATACCATTTTTTGGGGACACACAGAGCTTTCTTTTGGTGGTATTTAATCATCACTGGGGGTTTTATTTTTTACTATATTAAAGAAAAATGTATAATTTTTTTTTACATTATGTTAGGAAACAATTATTATTACCCAATTTTTTGGTAAAATATAAAAGTCGGGGTCACATCGGGTTAATAGACACCAAACATGTCAAGCTTTAAAATTGCGTGCACCCACGAAATCGCAAAAAAACTACCATACCCAAATTTGCCCATAGGCGACACTTTAAAAGCTTTTGCCGCTCATCAGTTTAGTGTTCTCAGTGATGATGGCCCTAAAATTATTGCTCTCACTGCGTCGTTCGCGGCGATATGTAACATGTGCGGCGTAATGGGCACAATCGTCGGTTTCGCACGTATCCGCATCCGACGTATGTATGTATGGGGACTTTAAGAAAATGTTGGTGTTTTTTAAAAATTATTTTTCATGTGTGACTTTAATTTTTGTTTTGCAACTTTTCTTTCACTTAACTTTATGGTTATCATATAGGGGGCTAAGAAACCCCCCTATGTGATAGCAAAGAGGATGTGACAGGTCCTCTTTATGGAGATATCAGGGGTCTCCAAGACCCCTGTCACCTAGGACCCCCCAAAGTAGCTGATGAAGCAGAAATCTACTTAATCAGTGACTGAAGCTGGAGAGGGACACAAGAATGCAGAAGTGATGTAATATACATCACTTCCACATTCTGACGGGGGGGAGAAATTCAAGGGGGTGGCTCATTTGTAGCTGTTTGAATAGAAAGGTTGGCTCATATGTTGTTGAATACCAACAAGATCAAGAGGGCGGCGTTGACCCTGCAGCATGGAACCTCGAGTCAGCATACTGCATGGTCAATGCTGCCCTCTTGATCTTGTTACAGTTTGAATCAACATATGAGCCAACCGTTCTATTCAAACAGCTACAATTGTCACAGCCGAGACCTGAAATTCCACTCTGGCTATGTGTAGATTAACAACGTCAGTCAATATACTGATCAACAAAATCTTTTATTACAGGGTTAAATGTTCCATTCTGAAACAAGAGACACACGGCATGTTTGTAGGAGGGAATTCCATGTATTCAGGCCTCAGCATTCTGCTCTGCCGCGGCAGCCTTCCGCTCTTCGATCATCCTCTGTTTCTGCTTCATTAGGCATTTCTTAGCATTGCCGTTCGCCCCGAGGAACTCATCTATAAAGCAATAATAAATCAGCGTTATTACAATCAATACTCTGCACACTCAAACACAATTATTTGGTTTCACATATAGAACAAGCTGACCAGAAATGCCAAAAAGGACCCTGTGTGGTCATTTCTGCACTAGTTGGATTTCATTCATTGTTATGGTTTTCCAGTTCAGTAATCAGGACCCATCTGCTGCTTTCCTTCAGTATGGTGCCGGGGTAGTGTGTGTCCCCCCCCGCTGTCCTTTGTGCGGGCCCGGCATGGCAAATCTCTGTGGCTGGATCGGAGGAAGTTCAGCACATTCCACCAGCTGATCTCCCCTCCGGTCTCTCAATGTCATTCAAATCACTTCCGGTGTCACTCGGTCATTTCTCTGGCTGCTGTAGCCGGAGAAGAAGCTGGTGAAGCACTTCATCAGCTTCTTTAGGGTCCATAGGTGACATTAGGGTCTAATAGTCCCATATAAAAAAAAAAAAAGTTATAAAGTCCCCCGCCCCCACATACACGCATCGGGTGCGCCTACGTATGAAAAAACAACGAATACACCACACGTTACATATCACTGCGAACCTCGGCGTGAGAGCAATAATTCTGGAGCCATCAGTCACTGTTAACACTAAACTGATGAGCGGGAAAAGCTTCTGAAGCGTCGCCTATGACCAATTTTGGTTATGGTCGTTTTTTGCGTATATTACTGGTGTACGCAAATTTTACGGCTTGACATGTTTGAACTCGATGGAGTGTGAGTGTGTGAGTGTGTTGAAGTGGCCGCGGATGGCGCCGCCAAATTCTTGCAAAACAGAAAAAAAATAGTCACCGGCACGCCAAGTTTTCTTCAAAACAAAATCCTTTTATTTATTCTTACAGGTCATATCACCATGCGTGGCAACGTTTCGGAACCTGTCCAGTCCCTTTATCAGGCAAACTTTTCTATTTACCCGACGTGACCCGTCTTTTATACTTTTCACTAAGGAAAAAGATAAATTAAAAATGTGTAGCGGCAAAGCCCCATGGAGTTCTTTTTGCTCAATGGAGTATTAAGAGCTCTGATTGGAGGAGAGACAGTCATGTGACTTTAACAAGTCACACAACTGGGCTCTCTTCACGGTTTTGGTTTCCATGCATTTGCACCGTGCTGAGCCGGCTTCAAGACTCTGAAAAGCACATTGTTTTGTTATTTACTTATTTGTGAAGCAGAGGTGCACCATGCCGTGTGACTTTCTGACTGAGCATTAGGAAGATGAGAAAGTAAATTGAGGAATAATGTAGGACAATTACTTTGCTAGCGCCCACCGACCCCCCCCCAGCAAAAAAAATAAATAAAAACAATGGAGGGGGATTTATTAAAACTGTAGCAGACAGGATCTGGAGCAGTTGTCCATGGCAACCAATTCGCTTCTATTTTTCATTTTCAAAGCTTAACAGAACAAAATAAGGACAGATTGGTTGGTTCCATCTTCTCCAGTTTTGACAAATCGTACCCCCCCCCCCTCCCCCCAATGTGTTTCAGCTTCACATTTGGAGGTCTGGCTGGTGTTTAAGGGGTGAGACAAGAAAGGAGAACTTACATCTGGTTTTATAAGCTTTGCAGACTTCTGTGAACTGTTCCTTCAACTCTGCACAGTTCTGGTCAGCACTGGAACCCTCGACGACCCTGCATGCTGTATACCGATCTCGCATAATCCTCACGATGTTCCGATCAACTTTCCTATAACAATGAGAAGAAAAAAACAAACAAAACCACATTGTTATAATATTCATTAATAATATTACCTTTACTTGTAAAGACTTATTTTCATACACAACTGGGTTTTTAAACTTGTGTCCTGTGGCAACATGGAAGTTGGCATGAGGAACCACCAAGTGTAGCGTGGAGGAGACTTTTTTTTTTTTTTCTTTTAAACATTGCAACAAGAGATAGATTAGCAAAAGTTTACAAGGACAACATATCCATAACTGAGAAATAAATGAACCAACAGAATGCGCAAAGAAGCGTAATCATCAAGTACCACTGCTTTATATATAAGGAAGGATGCAAAGGTATGCCCATAAGGAGAGGGAGAGTGGGCGAGAGAGAAGGCGAGCAAGTGGGAGGGCGAGACACGAATCCAGCAACGCAATGGCGCCTGAGACCACCGGTCCTCTTCACTCCCCTCTGGACAATGGACATCCAACAGGAAGTGTCCGTGTCATGTGGGTGTTGATGTTGTCACTCAAAGAAGGAATGATCCATAAGAAGTAAAGACTTGGGGGCTGCTGCATCATGTGACTGCGGCTTAACGCAAGGGCTTGATGGGGATTTTTCTAAATCTAGCAGATAGGGGGGGCGGGCGGGGGATGGAACAGTTGGGCTTTAAGCAGAGCTCCTATCCCATGCCTCACTCTTGCTGACATGTGTCCACCACCATTCAGCAGTGCTTGGCTTTCCACAGTACTCATCACCCCCCATCCCAGAGACCCCAGTTACCTTCTGATGGTTTCTGTGGCTGGGCTGCCTTGTGTTATACCTTCCTAATCAGCTCCGAGCTACAGTAGCCTCAGAACTGGTCAGCAGAGTCATTCAGTTGGGCCGAAGCAGAATAGACATAAATCCCACCAACCAGCAGCAGGGACAGAACATGCACAACAACCAGTAAGACAACTTACATGTCTCTCCTCCATTGCATTTCAGCTTCATAGTGGCAAAGCACATCGTCTTCTAGACACTGGGACAGGTCGGGAACCCGCTGGAACACCCTATGGTAGTAATAGATTCTTCTCTTCGATCGCTGACTTTCCATCCAGTCTGAAAAAGAACAAGCACAGCACTGTAAAGGGCTTCTCTAGCTGAGGGAGGAAGGGGGTTTCTCTTTAATAAAACCGGAGTTACACTTTGCGTGGTCTATGTATTAACTGTTTGCACAGCGAGCAGCCCTGCCTATCAGATTGTCAACGCATTAGAGCCACTAGATAGTAGTTTCCAATGTCCCTTGACTCCACCTAGTGGCCATAATGCGCTGCACATCTTGCTTGCAATCCAGATTTTATATAGACCCCTAGGTGTTGGAATGCGCTTTAAACTGCTGTAAGTGTTTGCTAAAGTGGACCTTTCCATTGCTCGCTCACGGCAAAGTAAAAGGGGAACTTAGCTCCACCCCTTCCCAGAAAATACAGTGACCTTTACCTGCTTCCACACTGCTCTGTCCAGATCCTGGGCCC